AACAAGTCCTATATCTCAAATCACAGAGGAGAATAAAAGTCTCAAAAGGGTAGCCGTGTTTGTCTGTAACTTTAAAAAATGCATCGTCCTGTAGCACCTTAGAGACTAACAAAAAATATATATGTGTATATATATATAATAACGTGTGTGTGTGTGTGTGTGTGTGTGTGTGTGTGTATTTCATGGGCAAAACCCACTTCTTCAGAGAGGAAGTGCTACATGACAACTCGTTTTTTAAAGTTACAGACTAACACGGCTACCCCTCAGAGACTTTTATTCTACTCTGTGATTTGAGATATTGGACTTGTTAATTAAATCTGCATATGCCAAGTCTGGCGGGAAAGAGACAGACACAGTACAACTTGAAGAACAGAGGAATAAAGCAAGACATGCATAAGATCAGAGAGGAAGTGGGTTTTCCCCACGAAAGCTCATGATACTATCTATATATTTGTTAGTCTCTAACGTGCTACAGGACGACTCATTTTTTAGAGTAGAATAAAGGCCCTTTTATTTCAAAAGCACTGATGCAGCAGTGCAATTCAGTGACGACTCTGTGACTATTTAAAACCAGCTGCTCAGGGTCAAGAGAGCTGAATGCTAGAGCAAGAGATGAGAAGGGCCCAAGCAACTCCGTCTAACCAGCACAGAACTGTTTCCCTGCTGCGTATTCTCTACTACTTTGTCCAGCCTAGAACATGGCCCCTTACAGAAGTTTTAGTGACCACAAGGGGAAGCTCTCCTCACGCATCAGGCCCCTCCTACATATGGAAGGAAAAGGAACAGCGGCCGCGGGGCTGTACCTGTTTTTGGCAGTGATGTAGGACATGATATTCTGATTGAAGAACTTCAGAATCAGCGGGATGCAGTTGGCAAACACCAAGTGCTGAGACACGTACTCAAACTGCAGAAAAGAGGTGCACACACACTGTCAGGTAGGCTCCATGCATCTGGCAAAGTGGTTTTGACCCATGAAAACTGACGCCCAAATAATTCTGTTAATCTTTAAGGTGCCACAGAACTTCTCATTGTTTTTACAGATACAGACTAACACGGCCCCCTCTCTGCCACGGTCAGGTAGTGCAATTAAAAAAAAAAAATCAAACAAAAGTCACACTTCCAGATTCAGTTAAAAACCTTTCTCTGTGGATTTGCTGCAGCTGACCTCACAGACCTCTTCTCCCTTTCCTCCTCACCATAAGTCCTGTACCAGTCTCTCCCCAAAACCTCTGATCCACAGCTCCTGCTTTTTCTCTTTGCCAAATGGTTTCTCCAGCCCTTTCCAAGTTTCAACTAAATAACAAACACTCCCCCTCAGCTTTATATGTGTGTCTTGATTTCTCTCCCTCTGTTAAAATTTAATTCTAAAGACTTTAGAAATATGGTTCCTATGGCTACAACATAAAGAACAATTGAACTGTATATAGATTGCCAGAAAGAGAGGCATTCCCCCCTCCACCCCAACTGCGCAGAGACTTACAGTAGGTTCCCACAGGAAAAAATGTTTTCTTCCTTTATTTTTACATAGCATGGAGCAAGTTCCACCCCAACTGCGCAGGGACTTACAGCAGGTTCCCACAGGAAGAAATGGCTTCTTCCTTTATTTTTACATAGCATGGAGCAAGCTCATAGAATCACAAAACACTAGAACTGGAAGGGACCTCGAGGGGTCACCAAGTCCAGTCCCCTGCCCTCGTGGCAGGGCCAAGCACCGTCTAGATCCGGGGTGGGGACCCTTTTTAGGGTCGGGGACTGCTGACCCACAGAAAAATCAGTTGGGGCCTGCACACAAGTGAAAAGAAAAAAAAACCCTGACTAAGCCATGGGGGGTGGGGGCTGGAGCCAGGGGCCACTTCCAGCTCCTGAGCCTGAGGTTCCGATCTAGATCATCCCTGACAGGTGTCTGTTTAACCTGCTCTTAAATATCTCCAGTGTTGGAAACTCCACAACCTCCCTAGACAACTTATTTCAGTGTTTAACCACCCTGACAGGCAGGAAGTGTTTCCTAATGTCCAACCCAAGCCTCCTTTGCTGCAATTTAAGCCCATCGCTTCTTGTCCTATCTTCAGAAGTCAGAGAGAACAATTTTTCTTCCTCTTCCAGTTAAAATTCATACACAACTAGTACTTGACCATTCTCTGTCTAGGTATTTCAAACTGCACCCTGTATTTTCCTGTTTTGGCATCAGTAGCCAGTCTCTTCCATTGGACCGTACTGAAGCGCTTACAAATATTCATGAAAGAAGCCCCATGTTTCTCTTTTCCCTGACCATATTTGACAAAGAGGGATGTTAAGGGCTGGACTACTTGGGGAGCTCTTCCAGAATAGCTATTGCTGGAGAGCTCCATGTATGGACACACATATTCCAAATCAGTTTAAACCACTTTGGAAGTGGATTAAGCTAATTTGGAACAAGGCTAGGAGACCATTCCCATATTGAATTGGTTAGGAAGAGCTCTTCTGCTCTAAATTTATGCTATGCCCACATCTTGAGTACTGTGTACAGATGTGGTCTCCTCACCTCAAAAAAGATATTTTGCCCTTGGAAAGGGTTCAGAAAAGGGCAACTAAAATGATTAGGGGTTTGGAACGGGTCCCATATGAAGAGAGGTTAAAACGACTGGGACTTTTCAGTTTAGAAAAGAGGAGACTGAGGGGGGATATGATAGAGGTCTATAAAATCATGAGTGGTGTGGAGAGGGCGAATAAAGAAAAGTTATTCATTAGTTCCCATAATAGAAGAATTAGAGGACACCAAATGAAGTTAATGGGTAGCAGGTTTAAAACTAATAAAAGAAAGTTCTTCTTCACACAGTGTGTAGTCAACCTGTGGAACTCCTTGCCAGAGGAGGCTGTGAAGGCTAGGACTATAACAGAGTTTAAAGAGAAGGTAGATAATTTCATGGAGGTTAGGTCCATAAAAGGCTATTAGCCAGGGGATAAAATGGTGTCCTTGGCCTCTGTTTGTCAGAGGCTGGAGAGGGATGGCAGGAGACAAATCTCTTGATTATTGTCTTCGGTCCACCCTCTCTGGGGCACCTGGTGCTGGCCACTGTCGGCAGACAGGCTACTGGGCTAGATGGACCTTTGGTCAGACCCAGTACGGCCGTTCTTATGTTCTTATGTTGTTAATCCACACTCTACCATATTCCAGATTAATTTTCATGCCCTAAAGCACACAGAAGGGGAATGACAGGCCCACGGACACATGGTAAGCCAGTTTCAGAGTCAAACTCAGAGCTTCTGTCTGGCTTCTGGTGCCAAATCCCTAACTCAGAGTATGGGGGTAGACAGAAATATTGTGAAATGCAAAGCCTGGCGCACAGGGACCATGCGGTTACTGTCTCAACTTAACCACTGGGAGCTCCCTTTTCACTCACCGAGCAGAAGTTTGGGTCCTTCTTTGGGTATGTCTACACTGGAGCTGGGATCAAGCCACACAGCTACTCCAGATGTGCTAACAGCAGCATGGTTATCACAGCACAAATGGCAGCTGGGGCTTGCTGCCCAAGCACAAGCTCACCTGAGCCCGAGTCTGTACTGGGGACTAGCACGCGTCTGTCTGTCCAGGCAGGGAGGTATGCTGCCAACTGCAGCTCAGATGTGTCCTTACAGCAGGGGCGGGCAACATGCGACCTGCAGGCCGGATCTGGCCCACCAAGCCGCCCCCCCCCAGGGCCCTCAGCCTCAGAGCAGCCTCATGCCGCTTTAAGCGGCTGGCTGCTCCCCGTGGCTCTGCTCCAAATGCTGGGGGGAGGGGAAGGCTTTGCATGCTGCCCTTGCCCCCAGCACAATTTCTCAGCTCCTATTGGCTGGTTTCCTGAGGCAGGTGTGAGGTGATCTGGGGTAGGGAGTTGGGATGTGGGAGGGAGTGGGATGCCAGAGGCAGGCTTTGTCAAGGAGGCACTTACCTAGGAGTTGAGAAATTGTGCTGGGGGGGGGGGACAGTGCGCCTTGCTCCCCTGATGCCTGGAGCAGAGAACCACAGGGAGCAGCCAGCCACTTTGAGCAGTCTGGGGCTGCTGACAGGCAGGGACCCTGCCTTGGGGTCCTGCAGAGCCTCTGGCCAGGAGCCACCTAGGTAAGCACCTCAATCCCGGAGCCTGCCTATGGCACCCCACCCCTCCCACACCCAACTCCCTGCCCCAGCTCACCACCCAAACCCTCTGCACCCCCCCATCCTCCAGGACAATTCCCTCCTAGACCATGCACCTCCTCCTACACCCTTCCACCAGGCCAGAATCCTCTCCTGCACCCAGACCCCCTTATGGACCCTGCACCCCAAGCCCCTGCCCCAGATCACAACCCCCTCTTCATTCAAACTGAATGCCAGTCCCCTATCCTGAACCCCAACCTCCATAGAAAAGGGCAGCCCTGCACCCAAACTGTGGCCCCGTACCAGGCCTCCCTCCAAGGCCCAGCCTTGCACCACCTCCTCCCCTGGCCCCCTTGGCTGGGAGTCTCCACTGATTAGCCAAGTCCCCTCCAGCTTCCGGCCAGCCCCACATTCCCCAGAATTCGACATGCTGTTTGCTTATGAATTGGGATCGGGAAGAGGGTCCTTAGTGCTGCTGCTTACTAGTCAGCTTCACCATGTCCGAACTCTGGCGCACGTGCCGCAGCAGACAGACCCAGCGGCAAGCAAAGCCCCGGAGTAGGGCAACCTGGCCAGAACAGCCCTTTTACCAGCAACCTCCGTGACCCTGATGCACGCACTCAGCTAAACGTGAGATTTACCCCAACACGAAGGGACACAAACTGGAGCCAGGATGTAAATCTAGTTGGTTTTGCTTGACACGTAGCTTAGCACACTGGAAATCTCAGCTCAGAAACAGCAGCTGGGTGGCTGAGAGATTCCTGCTTTTTTACTCGGTTTTCCAGCACAAGCGACTGATGCAAAAGGCACCTCAGTGTCCCACCCAGGGTTAAACAACAAGCAAGTACCCAGGAAGCCCCTGGGTTTTATTTCTTGGCGCAACTGCTGGATCGCAGCCATCCGCATGCCACGAGAAAGGAGGAAAAGGAGAGAACGCCCTCCTGTGCCCAGAGGAGCAAGAGCACACATAAGGGGACACGAGAGGCCTATTGCAGCTGGGGATCTCAAAACGTAGTGTACTAAGGCTAGGGATGTAAATATCGGTTCATTGAATAGTCGAGTAACCTCATTAATTCTTTTCAGTTAGTCGACTATTCTGTAATCCCCGGGGTGGGTCTAGCAGCCAGTGCTCTCCGACCTCACTCCCAAGGAGACCCCTTGCCACTCTACGCTGCTGCCTCTGTATCAGAGGCAGCAGTGTGGGGTGCCAGGCAGGAGCTGGTCCGCAAGGGGAGGCAGTTTAAAAACCAGCTCCCCTCGCGGATTGGCTGACTGTTGCCTCGCACTGATGCCTCTGATACAGAAGCAGGGCTTCTGAGCTCCTGGACCTGGCGCAAGCTGGAACTGAGCCGGGCTGCCTGGCCACTTGGCTCCTAATACACTTTAAATGCAGAGCCGCAGTGGGGGTAGGTCCCGGACCCGGCGCAACGCAGGACTGAGCCGGGCTGCTGGCCAGCCTGCTAAAAAAATGTACTGGAAAGGAGGGGTTAATCAGCTTATCAGTTAATCGACTCTACTATTACAACCCTAATTAATGCCGAATCAAAATACTAGCCTCTGTCCATCTCATAGGGCAGGGCTGAATTCTAGGCTTGTTCCTTTCTGAATCAGCTCTTTAAAAGAAGAAAAAAGGGGGTGTTTGGCATGCAAAGTGGCTGCAGTACTGGGCCGAGGAGACAGCCCCATCTCATGTTTCAGACATTGCTAACAAGGGAACGCCTCGACACGGTCAGAACACAGTTTGGTCTGGTGTACACCCAGGCCAAACCAAACCCTGTTAGGACGCAAAGACGAGAGTCTCGAACGCTTTAACTCCTTAGAGTCCCTACCTATCTGTAGTTTAGAAACAGCCTCGTCGGGTCTGGCTAGTCCCACTCCTGGCAGAGGGAAAGAAAACTTCTCCCCTCAGGCTAAATGTTTAGGATCCCACTAAGTTTCAGTCCCTGTGGAATATTCACACGAGGCTGCCAAGGGAACTGCAGACACAGCGTTGCAGAAGCGACCCGAACACATTCACAGCCACTTCTCCTGGGCTAACAACGCTGAAGGGCTATGCTTTGGGGCTGACGATCGCCTCTGCAGCAGGCCAGAACCGGGTGAGGTAGCCAGGGGATCCCTCTTGGGAAACACTAAACACGTCTGCCTTGTGATGCACCTAGCGACGGCCTTCTCCTCCCCCGCTCACCTGGTAGATGTGGTTGACTTTGAAATGCTTCAGCAGCAGCAGCAGCGAGGCCGAAATGCCCTTCACGATGATCTCCTTGTGCCTGTTCACATCGACCCCCAACTTCATGCTCTGAAGAACCGTGATGCTAGTTGGGAAGGAGAAAGGGAGGGTCAGATCAGCATCGGATTTTTGTTCTGATTGGTTTATATTCATCGGCTTGGGCTCTATGAACAGGGGATTCTCCACTGAACCTGCCACACAGAGAAGAGCCTGTGCTTATCCCTGGATCTCTTGCTTCCAGTGTGCCCTGCCAAGGGCCACCGCAGTGGGACGGACCACACTGCACAAGGAGAGCCTGGGCATTTGCTACAGCAGTTGAATTAGAAAGCAAAGGGCCCTTCCAGCGACACGATCTTCCCAAAGTTTTATTCCTGGCACTGGTTGGTTTAATTTTAACCTCTGGGCATGAGCAGCCTTCTCTTTTGTGCTGTGTTCTGTCCACAACAGCTGGACTTTGAACCTGCGAGAGGAGAACAACCTGCTAGAGTTCAATGGGGACACAGATGTAGAATCGTAGCATGCTAGAACCGGAGAGACCTCGGGAGATTATCAAGTACAGTCCCCTGCCCTCCTGTCACTGGTTGGTTTAATTTTAACCTCTGGGCATGAGCAGCCTTCTCTTTTGTGCTGTGTTCTGTCCACAACAGCTGGACTTTGAACCTGCGAGAGGAGAACAACCTGCTAGAGTTCAATGGGGACACAGATGTAGAATCGTAGCATGCTAGAACCGGAGAGACCTCGGGAGATTATCAAGTACAGTCCCCTGCCCTCCTGGCAGGACCAAGCACCCTCTAGATCAGAGTGGGGGCCCTTGGCTTGTCTGGATCCAGCCCTCGGGGCTCAGAGCTCCCCCAAGCATTGGGGAGCCTGCACTGGGGCCCTCGGGGCTCCAAGCTCCCCCAAGCATTGGGGAGCCCGCACTGGCATTACAGTTCCCTCACCATCTCCCCACCAGGCTGGAGCACACAAACAGTTCCCACAACATCTCCCCACCAGGCTGGAGCACACAAAATCTGCTAGCCTGGGCCCCCCCAACCTCTAGTGTGTGAGAAGAATATGGGGAGTGTCTTTCTCCCTCTCAATCAGTTTTTGTTTTTTCTTTGCTTCTCACTTGTGTTCAGCCTCAACTGATTTTTCTGTGGGCCAGCAGCCCCCGATCTGAAAAAGGTTTCCCATCCCTGATCTAGACCATCCCTGACAGGTGTCTGTCTAACCTGCTCTTAAATATCTCCAGAGATGGAGATTCCACAACCTCCCGAGGCAATTTATTCCAGTGTTTCACCACCCTGACAGGCAGGAAGTTTTTCCTAATGTCCAACCTAAGCCTCCCTTGCTGCAGTTTAAGCCCATTGCGTCTTGTCCTATCCTCAGAGGCCAAGGAGAAAAATTTTTCTCCCTCCTTCCTGTGACACCCTTTTAGATACTTGAAAACAGCTATCATGTCCCCTCTCAGTCTGCTCTTCTAAACTAAACAAGCCCAATTCTTTCAGTCTTCCCTCATTGTCCATGTTTTCTAGACGTTTAATCATTTTTGTTGCTCTTCTCTGGACCTTCTTCAATTTCTCCACATCTTTCTTGAAACGTGGTGCCCAGAACTGGACACAAGACTCCAACTGAGGCCTAAGTTGTTCAACTTAACAGAGCACAAGGACTGGTCTTGGACACCCAGCAGCACTGAAAGGCAGAAAAGCACCAGATTAACCTTTTGTGGTGCCAAACATATTTGTGGGCACCCACGAAGTCATTGTGGACACCTTCCAAGAGTGGACGCAATGTGGTGAGGACATGAAATCTTGGACATTTTTCATTTTGATCACACACCTCTGCAAGGCTATACGTACTGCCATACACAGCTTCCCCAGTTTTTCTTATGGAGCTGTACCCGTGTGGCCATATCCTGGGTGAGCAGAACTTCCACAGCGACCAGGGAAACTCCCCACAGATTTATCTCCTTCTTCATTCTGACGTCCTACAGCCATGTTTCCTGGACCACCCTGTTTTGCCAGCCATGGTAAGTGGCCCTACCTTCAGCTCAGTAAAGTTCCATAGCCAGCAACTACCTGGTCAATGTTGACAAATTCCTCCCCCAGCGCCCATCCTGGCTTTTGAGCCAGTCACTTGTAAATGCCATTTCCCCAAAGTGGTGGGCAGTACTTTTTGACGGGGGTGGAGGGGGCCACTCCAAGATTTTGGAAAGTGGTCGAGGGCCGCACTCTTCCAGGATATTAATGGAGGAGATGCAGGGTCTGGAATGGTGGTTGGGTGCAGAAGGGAGCTTGCGGTAAGGGGGGGAATTTGGGTGAAGGATGCAGTTGTCACCTGGGGCACTGGACTGGGATGCAGGGGGTTAGATTGTGACCTTGGGCAGGGAATGGAGGTACAGGAGAGGCTGCAGGGGTTTGGGTTGTGAGGTAGGGCAGGAGGGGATTGCGATCTGGGGCAGGGGATTGGAGTGCCGGAGCTGGGAGGGCATAGGGTACAGGAGGGACAGAGGATTTGGGTATGCGGAGTAGGGGGCAGGAGTGGAAGAACGAAGGTTGGGGAAGAGAGGGACTGAGGTTCCAGAGGCAGGGTCTGGCTAGGAGACTTACCAACCAGCAGCCCATTCCTGAATCAGCCTCCCTGCCTGCCCCGCCCCTGCACAGGCTGCAGCCATGTGCTCTGTGAATAATTAGGAGCCCCTTGTGTTTTGTGGCTGCCTGTTATTGAAACAGGCAGCTCCCATTGGCCAGTTTCTGGCCAGAAGCCAGCCAATAGGATTGTGCTGAGGTCAGGAGCAGCTCCTAAAGCTTTCCCCCCCTCTCCTCCAGGTTCAGTTTTTAAAGTGAAATCGCCCTGCAGCCGCGTTTCTGAGTGACATATGGGTAGGGCAAGGCAAGTGGGGAGCCTGCCTGGGGCTCCCTGCAGCATCCGCGGGCCAGATCCGGTGGCTTGGCAAGCCAGATCCGACCCATTGGCCGTATTTTGCCCAGGCCTGATATAATCCTGGGAACCTGAAGTCACCTGCCTTCTTTTCCCCCCTGCTTCCATCTATATGCTATTCTGCTCCCTGGTCACCAGCACCTCTCCCCATGCTTGCTTCCCTTCCGCCTTGGACCACATGCCCCAACCATCTGGTCTTGTTCTCCCTCTGCACACCTGATCGGCTTCCTCGTTCCCTTCCACCCTTTCCCACAGGCGACCTCTGTTCCTGGAGATTAACTCCAGTTTCTTTATCTGCTCCTAGCTCAACGGCCCTTGGTAGTCACAGAGTCACCCGTATTTCTCTGGCTGCAGCCATACGGCCAATTGCCCGAGGCCAGCCCTAGACAGGTGCCCCTATGAGCTGCGAGAAGGGTGGCAACTCCAAGGCTGAACATGCAAGGACAGCACTAGGGACTCCCAATCCTCAGGGCTGGCCTTAGGCAGCTTTAGATGCTGCAGTGTGGCGCTTCCCTACTCCAGGCCCTGGCTGTAAGTGCCCGAGATGCCCATCACCTGCAGCAGGGACCCCCAATTCCCATGACCCAAGGGCTAACACAGAGTCATGAAGAAGGTGCAGTCTGGATGATTTTGGAAGCCGGGGCACCAGGAGGCTCCCATCCCTGAACAGCAGCTCTGCAACAAGCTCACATGAACCTCCCTCCGCTGTGGAGCTGCGATCCTATGAAGTTACCCCGTGTATAGCAGCACCAGGAAGGAGCATTCACTCCCATGGACCCGTTTTTTCCATGGAAACAGTAGCTCAGATCTCCAAAGGGACAGGTGGATTCTGCCCTCCCAGCAATGGGAAATCGCTCCGTGACCTACGTCAGCCAGGAGGCCGCGCTGCTGCTGAAACAGCCCGCACTCAGCTGCCTCTCACTCACGCACACTTACGGCATCTCCTCGGGCAACACGTCTGCCAGGATGTTGATAGAGTCGGTCTTGGCTTTGGAGGTGGGTGCGGCCGCCAGGAGAATCTTCAGCAAAGCAATCTGCGAGAGGTGTGTGGGGGCAGAGATCCCCGCAAATGCATTTAGAACAAGCAGGAATTGTGACCCACAGTCTGAGAACCACTGGTCTAGACCATCCCTGATAAAAGGTTTATCTAACCTGCTCTGAAATATCTCCAGTGATGGAGATTCCACAACCCCGCTAGGCAATTTATTCCAGTGTTTAACCACCCTGACAGGGGAGAGATCCCCACAAATGCATTTAGAACAAGCAGGAATTGTGACCCACAGTCTGAGAACCACTGGTCTAGACCATCCCTGATAAAAGGTTTATCTAACCTGCTCTGAAATATCTCCAGTGATGGAGATTCCACAACCCCGCTAGGCAATTTATTCCAGTGTTTAACCACCCTGACAGTTAGGAAGTTTTTCCTAATGTCCAACCTAAACCTCCCTTGCTGAAATTTAAGCCCATTGCTTCTTGTCCTAGCATCAGAGGTTAAGCAGAACAATTTTTCTCCCTCCTCCTTGTGACACCCTTTTAGATACTTCAAAACTGCTGTCGTGTCCCCTCTCAGTCTTCTCTTTTCTAAACTAAACACACCCAAATATTTTAATTTTCCACGAGAGGTCATGTTTTCTAGACCTTTCATCATTTTTGTTGCTCTTCTCCAGACTTTCTCCAATTTCTCTACATCTTCCTTGAAAGGTGGTGCCCAGAACTGGACACAATACTCCAACTGAGGCCTAATCAGCGCAGAATAGAGCAGAAGAATGACTTCTCGTGTCTTGCTCATAACACTTCTGCTAATACATCCCAGAATGACATTTGCTTTGCTTTCTGACAGCATTACCCTGTTGACTCATATTTAAGCTGGGATCCACTACGATCCCTAGATCCTTTTCTAGGGTGCTCCTTCCTAGGCAGCCATTTCCCATTTTATATCTATGCACCTGATTGTTCAATCCTAAGTCGAGTACTTTGCATTTGTCCTTGTTGAATTTCATCCTACTGACTTCAGGCCCATTTCTCCAGTTTGCCTAGGTGATTCTGAATTTTAATCCTATCCTCCAAACCACTTGCAACTCCTCCAAGCTTGGGATAGTCCACAAATGTTGTAAGTGTACTCTCTGTACCATTATCTAAACCACTGATGAAGACTTTGAACGGAACTGGACCCAGAACTGATACCTGCAAGATCCCACCAAGATCCCTTCTGGTTTGACTGTGAACTACTCTCTGGGAAGTTTTCCAGCCAGTTCTCTGCCCATTTTACAGTAGCTCCATCTAGGCTGTATTTCCCTAGCTTGTTTATGAGAAGGCCACGCAAGACTGTATCAAAAGCCTTACTGAAGTCAAGTTATACCACATCTACCACTTCCCCTGTACCCACAAGGCCTGGTACCCTGCGATAGTGTCAGCAGAGAGGACAAGAAAAGGTGGGCCAATGAAACGGAGCCCCCTCTCTCCCCTGTGGGTAACCCCACCAGCTCAGGGCTGAGCCATGGTGGGAGGGAAGCCTGCACGGATGATCGGAGTCTCCAGGGCATGCAGCCTCCTGTGCTTTTAAAAGAGACAGGCTTACCATATACTGGGGGAGATTGTATAACATTGCCTGATAGAGCATCTCACAAGGGGTCTCCTGGACTTTCTCCTCCCCCTAGTAGGCAACAGACAGATACAGGAAAGAAATCACAGAGCTGTCACTCAATCACTGAGGAACGTCAGAGACATACTCCCTGTCTCCTCCTTCCCCGCCCCCCTCTGTCCCCGAGCCTAGCTCGATTGTGGAGCGGCACCACATCTGCTTCTGGGACAGGTGCAATCTGGATCAAAGCCCAAGACTGGTGCTGCCTTAGCGAAGGGCAGGCCAGGATAGGCTAGTGTAAGTCCTGAGGACCAAGGCAAATCTATGGAGTTTGGTGACACAGCCATCACCTTGAAGCACAAACACGCAGCCTCCAATGACTACAAGCCCCAGCATGCCACGCTTCATCTTATGTGACCCAACTGCTCACATCCAAGTGCTGCACTGCATTTTGGGACACGTAGTCCGACGACGGTGGCTGCTCTGTTCTGCTACATATGACTTAGACGGCGCTCTCAGGCTCCTGGCAAATGGGTAACGACATCCCGCTCTCGAGAATCAAGCTATTTCCAATCCCCTTGGGCATCTCCACTGAAGCCCCGCCCCTGCATGGACCCACACAGCAATCAGCATGCCATAGTAACGCTCTACATTGACATATTCCTTAGAACAGGGGTGGGGAACCTACGGCCCAGGGGCCGGATGCAGCCCCTGGCTTGCCGGGATCCGGCCCCTGCGGCTCGGGGCTCCCCCCAGCGTTGGGGAGTCCACGCTGGTGAGAGGTAGGTTTTTTTGTTTCTCACTTGCATGCAGCCCCCAACTGATTTTTCTGTGGGTCAGTAGCCCCCACCACAAAAAACGTTCCCCACTCAGTCTTAGAAACTGCTCCTTGAGAAACAGTCTAGCTGTGGAAGCTACTGATTTCTTACCAGTGACATCGGACACTTCTCCAATTCCTCTTCGTTCTTGATCTGCACATCCGAGATAGAGACATACTTGTGCTGGGGAAACACAAACCAGAGAGGCAGGGTAACACTGGGAGCGAAACAGAAGGCGCACACCATGCAATGAAAAACAGGCCAATCTTCCTCTCTTGGTCAGTCAGGGCAGGATTAGATTACAGTCCCCACTACAAAAGATCTTTGCAGAGGCACGAAAATTCATCCCTGCATGGGATACTCTATGGCTGTCACGTGCATTACAAATGACCTATGTAGAAATCACGTCAACCGTACTGAAATGCAGCAGCCTCTGGAGCACAACCCAGCAAGTGCTTAACAGTGCACTGCAACATTACTCATCAACGAAGGAGAAGAGAACATCCTCCTAATGTCTGGCTAGCACCAGGGGTAACAACCCTAACTAATGCTCCCTCTAATCTTTTCCATCCATGTGCGGAATAATTTCATGTGCACCGAGGCATGTGCGAATGTGCACCGGCGAGAGAGACACAAGCCGAGCGGTGGGTGCTCTGCTCATCATCTGGGCGGCACTGGAATCTCTCCTGAGCGGCCACACAAGCTTACAGGGAACACCGACCCTCGCCCTTGCAAAAGATTCCATGGCAGATTTAATGCCCACGAGTGGTAAAACTTACGACTTCATCACTTATTTCTACTGCAATAGCAGCCAGGTGCACCAGTCAGGGACACGGTTAACAGAGATCCAGAGGGCTGATTAAAAAGGGCCGGGTGGGGAGAGTTTCTTTAAGTTTTCCGTATCCAGTTGTCTTCAGCCAGGGTGCCGTAAAACAATATGGACTGGGCCGTACGTACTGGCTTTAATTTTTCCTGGTGCATCCACATCACTTATTTCTACTGCAATAGCAGCCAGGTGCACCAGTCAGGGACACGGTTAACAGAGATCCAGAGGGCTGATTAAAAAGGGCCGGGTGGGGAGAGTTTCTTTAAGTTTTCCGTATCCAGTTGTCTTCAGCCAGGGTGCCGTAAAACAATATGGACTGGGCCGTACGTACTGGCTTTAATTTTTCCTGGTGCATCCACCCTTTATTTTTTCCCCATAGGTGCTTGGGCTGGGAAATTAAGTACAGGCCATGGGGGCACGTTCAGGCTTCAGGAATAACGTGAATTCCCTTGGGGAAGCAATCCTAGCCGGACAGGGTGGCACAGGAGTCCAGGATAAGAATTCCTTGACCCCCTCGTGCAAGGAAATTCAAATCCCAACAGGATCACTCCGATTTGTCAAGCACCGAAGGCAGAGAGCTGGAGCGCAAAGAAATTCAAATCCCAATAGGGTCACTCCGATTTGTCAAGCACCGAAGGCAGAGAGCTGGAGCTGCAAGGGGAGCATGCACGAGAGGCTACGCCGCACACCTTGTCTGCTCTGCACTTGCACAGACATTCTCTTTCGCACTGGTGATCCTGGCCAGAGATTTCCCCTGCCCCAATGGAACGTACTGTGCACCGGTCCCATCCCAGAGGTGGCTGCCTCTCAGTGCTGCTGGGTGGAAGTAAGAACCAGTTGTGTGGCAGCAGTATGTCAGACAAGCCGTCCCCTACATCAGGGTGCCACAGACCAGAACCACCACGTAAAGCCTCTGCGTTACCTGCTTTAGCGTCTTCACGCTTTCGTGGATGGGCCGGGGCAACCCTACCAAGGTATCCGTGTCTCTGCGGGAGGGAAAGAAAGAAAATCCGTACAAGTCCAAACGGGAGAGCTGGGAAGAAAACTTTCCATTTCGGATTTGGAGCCGAAGTCAGACAGGCCGTCTGTTGTTGGAGGAACAAAACCCAGACGTGCCAGGAACTCAGTGTCTAAAAGCCACGATCCCCTGCCCCCGTCTCCGTTCCACCGGAGATACAGACGCACCGAGGACGCCCGGCCATGACTCTGATACGCTGCCCTCTCACAACAGCGACACAGAAAGGGGAAATCGGCAGCCAGCGCTTCCCAGCTCTGCTCCAAAGGGCACAGGTTCATTCCCCACCCAGAGAGCCGAACGCTCAGTGAATCACCAACATACCTCCCTGCATCTGGTTGTTCTCCGAAGCGCCCACACCACCCACGGCCTGTCCCACGCCTGCGCACTACTGCTAGCTCGCAGTGAGGATGTTAAGAGGCGGGTAATTCACTAATGGTGTAGTCGATGACATTTTTAATGACTACATGATTAGTCAATAAGGGAAGCAGCTCGCGCCGGGTCCCGGACCTACCCCCACTGCGGCTCTGCAGTTTAAATGCAGTAAGAGCAGGGTGTGAACGAGGCAGCAGCGTGGGGGGCAGGTGGCACTGTGAAGACAGTGCTGGGGGGAACCGCCTCTTAAGCTGGTACCCCCAGCACCGGCTCCTGCTCCCTCCCCCTTGCTGCCTCTGATACAGAGGCAGCAAGGGGGCGGGGAGCGAGTAGTTGAGAAGTCAGCTCGACTACTCGCTGACATCCCTGGCTCGCAGCTCAAAGTGGCAGAGCTCAGCAACACCTGGTCAGCTCCTTCCCGCCTTCCCAGCCCCACGAGACCCGACTCAGCCTCAGCCACCGTCCTTACCACCCAGCATCAGCTAACGGAGTTTCCAGAATAGCCAGTGAAAAGCCTCTGTCCCGCCAGCCCTTCCACACCCTCACCCGCAGCTTTCGGGGATGCCATAATGCGAGGTTTGGACAAGGGAATCCTCTCCAGCCACAAGTCTGCCGTCCCACTGCCCCGCCCCCTCCTGCTCTCTCATTCTCTCCTCCCCCTGCCAGCAAACCCAGTCAGACCTGTGGAATAAGACCCAGGCCGCCTATCGCCCTGACCCCTGGCTGGCATGATGTGTCCATTCTTCCAGGCTCCCTCTGTTTTTCGGCTGTAAGCTCACTGTCCATCAGCTCAGTGTTTCTCAACCTTTTTTTTTTTTTTTTTTTTATACAGTACCCGCTTTAAAAAAAATTAGAAGTATCTCCCAGTACCTACAGTTTTCAGACACACCATTTTTCTTCTACCATTACAACACATTTGTTTAAACAATGTCATCGTAGCCGGGTGGGCGATGACATTTTTGGGTGTAAAAAGTACACAAATAAAGCAGTGCCATAAAACTTAAAACAAAAATTCAGTTTTCTCCCAATGTCAATTGTGTTGATGTAGCCCCCAGACGTCTCTCGAGTACCCCTAAGGGTACTCGTACCAGTGGTGGAGAAACACGGCCTTAGAACACGTCTTTACATGGCAACATGGTCCCGACAGCCTGAGAACTGCCATGCAGCTTCCTGCACAGTCAGCACCTGCACATTCAGCACAAGCAACACTTCCCAGCCGCCAGCTAATCTAGACACTTCGTTTGCAGGCAAAAGCCAAACCAACTCTCCGCTCCCAGATGCCAAATACTCACTGTCCAAGGGTGAATCCAATGAATTTGTTCCTACTTGCCTCCAGGAAATGCTCAATGTCCTTCTGTCTGGTAGAGCGGCAGGAGGAAAACCAGGGAGAGAGGGGGAAACACACATTCTATCAGTACCAAGTTTGCTTGGAAACTGAACGCTAGACCCTCAGTATGCAGCCTACAACCCTCCAGCGTCGCTTAGCGGCGTTGTTATGGCCTTTGAACAAAGGCCTGCGTTGCTTCACCCAGGAGCCATAGACACGAGATGATCTGAAACTATTTTAAATCTCGAGTCATGTAACATGGGGGTAGAGTGGAGAAAGCGATTCTAAAAACAGCACCTTCTTATTCAACCGCTCTGCTCCCGGCAGGTTATCAAGGGCCATCTGCTCATTTAACAAAAAAAAGTCCAACCCGTGGGACAGTGATGGGCAACCTGCAGCCTGGGCTTACCCCCCGCCCCCCACATGCTGGGGCTCCGCACCTACCTACTCTTCCCCCTCCCGCCCAGAATACCATGAATCAGCTGATTTGCACCCCCCACACTACTCCCCCTCCCTCTCAGAGCTTGAATGCTGCAAATCAGCTGATTCACAGCACTCCAGAAATGCTGGGAGGGGGAGACGCAGGGATAGGACACGCTTGGGAGAGGAGGTGAGGAAAAGCCTGGGCAGCGATGTAAATGGATGGAACCCTCAGTGCCGAACTGCAAAGCGCCTACACATCCCTTACTCCTAATCAGAGCTCCAACCAGACGTCACGCTGAGTATGATGTATTGTCAAGCAAGCACAAAGGGTGCTTTTTCTTATTATGTGAACTTGATGACAGCTCTACTCATTCATGGACGATTAAAGTACTTCCACGTGTTTTAAATACCACACACGGGATATTTCAATCTTATTCTTGGGGTCATGGTGAGGGCCGATTTCAATCTTGCGGCCACTGAAACGAAGGAGGGCCAACTCATGCACCCCACTCACTAGTCTTGGCTGGCCATCACTGGCATGGGCCCTACAGGTGTTAGAGAACACGCTGGTGTCTCTTCGGCCTTGGGCATCCTTTCCAAGCCCTGATCGTTTCATGCCACTCGTGGGACTTTCACGACCGGGAAAAGCTGCAAGAGGTGAAAAGGACCCAGCTGAATTCCGGAGTCTAGGGGGAGTTGGCAGCCAAAACCAACGCCGCTCAACTTGCAGAGAGAGAGAGAGAGCACACGAGGGGCTTGGCAGTCGGGTGTGTGCAGAGACGGACACATCAGCGCACCCTGGGAAACAGGGTCCTGCCCAGTTTAATGAGCTGTGCAGTGAATAGGCCGGGCTGCCGATTCATTTATCTCAGCTGATCAGCTTTACACGGGCTCCTGCATTTTTAAATCCATATCTAATCCTGGCTCGACCCAAGTCAGTGGCCAAGCTTTCACTGACTTCAGCGGGGCCAGGATCCCAGCTGTGCTGCATGGAGCTGGCCCGGGCCCTGACAGAGGCGCATCCCCCAGCCCAGAGCGACAGCGGAAGTTCTCCGAGCGCCCAGATCACAGTGAAGCCACTGGAGGTCGCTCACCCTCCTGGCAGGGATGAGACGCACCACAACCGGAGAGAGGTGAGCTCATCAAACAGCTCACAAGGCTAGTTTCCCCAAGATCACAGCCAGGGACGGACCCCGCTCTGGGCCACCAGTACTGGCTGGTTACACTGGTCTCCATCCCTCCCCATAAGTAAGGAGCAAGCCAAGGGGTCTTGGCCATGGATCATTATGGAAGAACCAACCCTACGTCCTGCAACGTCCGGGATTTCCACAGTGGCCTCCCACCTAACGATGGGCCTGATTGGACCACGTGTGGCTTGCAAAGTCTTGAGGGATCCCAGCCAAAGGTCAATGAGGGAAAAGCGGGAAGTCTTTCCAGTCCAACAGGCAAACGTGCAACCCGGAACGCACTGCAAAGCAAGGGGAGCTGGGGTGAAAACGAGATGGCTCTACCTGACTTTGGGTGCCCATGGAAGCCCTTTGGGGAAGGACACCCGCTCGATGGGTGGGCGCTGAGCTGGCCCTGCTGGCATGATCGCATCCCGCTCCATCAGGTCCAGCTCCCCTTCCACCCCGCTGTCCCCCTCGTCGCTTTCCTCTTCATCCGCGGCAGCCTCGTCGTTCTTGAAAGGGTCCCTCTCGTTGTAGATATCCAGGCTGTCTTGCTTCACGAGGGGCTACCACGCATGGAAACAGAGGAGAAAGGGGCAAGGAGGAGGAAGGATTTTACAAACCCTTAGGCTCCACTTCCCTAGAGGAGGGCATGGGTGGAACCCAACGTTTCTCCTGAGCAAGGACTTCCATCCCGCGGCCTCGTCTCTTAATTTGGCATCTCAGCCTGGATGAAGAACCATCTCCCTGCCTTCAAAACAGAGCCCCGGACTGCAGGGCTTGCTGCCCGCCCGGGAGGGAGGGGCGGAAGGCATCCTGCCCGCTAAGACTCTCACTTTTTTCTGGTTTCATCATCAGCCTGCTCGTGAGCAAGATGTAAATGTTGGAACCACTGAGCGTAATTCATCAGCTCAAGCAGCTGAACGCCAAGGAGAACCACCGTAATTCGGTACGGAGCACACAGTCAATCTGTGGAACTCCTTGCCAGAGGATGTGGTGAAGGCTAGGACTTGAACAGGGTTCAAAAAAGAGCTAGATACATTCATGGAGGTTAGGTCCATCAATGGCGATTAGCCAGGATGGGTAGGAATGGTGTCCCTAGCCTCTGTTTCTCTGGAGGTGGGTGACAAGGGATTCCCTGTTGTGTCCCCTCCCTCTGTGGCACCCAATAGGAAACGCATTGGAGAGGGTCCAGCTGAGAACAACCAAAATGATTAGGGGGCTGGAGCACATAACCTATGAGGAGAGGCTGAGGGAGTTGGGTCTATTTAGTTTGCAGAAGCAAAGAGTGAGGGGGGATTTGAGAGCAGCCTTCACCTTCCTCAAGGGAGGTTCCAAAGAGGATGGAGAGCGGCTGGTCTCAGTGGGGGCAGAACAAGAAGCAATGGTCTCAAGTTGTGGCGAGAGAGGTCCAGGTTGGATAGTAGGAAAAACTATTTCCCTAGGAGGGTGGTGAAGCACTGGGATGGGTTCCCTAGGGAAGTAGTGGAGTCTCCATCCCTAGAGGGGCTTAAGTCTCGGCTTGACAAAGCCCTGGCCGGGTTGATTTAGTTGGGATTGGTCCTGCCTAGAGCAGGGGGCTGGACTCGATGACCTTCTGAGGTCTCTTCCAGCTCTATGGTTCTATGGCATCTGGTATTGGCTGCTGTCGGCAGACTGGACACTGGGCTGGATTGACCTTTGGTCTGACCCCGTCTGGCCGTTCTTATGTTCACTCCCCTATGCTGGTGACTTGGCATTTGGGATGCTCTCTCACTTTCCCAATAGGAAACCAAACCTGCTGGCTCCTGGACACGCCTGGGCCAGGCCAACTCCTCCCACTTGGAAGCGGGCAAAGAGACGGGCGCTACTGAACGCAGCCCCTCCTGTCGGAGAGAAGATCGCCCTTCAAAGAAAGGCCACGCGCTGCCTCCCAGGAGCCTCGATGGTCGCGGGCTCTTACCCGCCGGCTCCGGTGCCCGCGTTTCGACGACTGCTGGTCCAGCAGATCAATGGTGTAGGTGGGAGGCGAGGCAGCCCGCATGCGGCGCATCACCTGGATGCTGTCCTCCGGGAGCGGCGGCAGACCCAGCTCCTCCCGCTTCTTCACTTTCATGGCCTGGAGGGCTTCGAATCCCCCCAGTGTGAACTGCAGGCCAGGCGTGAGCAGGGAAAGAAGGGAAAAGAGACTGTGCCATCCAGCAGCCTTGCCTCTGTGGCCGCTCCCCACGGCCTCCCTGCTATTTACACCTCCCCTAGCGCAAGGAGAGAAATCACACCCTTAGCTCGCAGTCTGCCCACGGCACTGGCGCCTCTTGTGCTTCCCTAAATAATCTTCTCCGCTGCAAATGCTGGTAGGGTCGTGCTCACCCTTCACGAGCAAAACTAGATCTTCCCTCTCCGAGGAACGCCAGCGCAGCCAGGCAAAACGAGGACTGTTCCCCCCGGCTCCAGAGCCAAAATTCTCAGCGGGGCCGATTTCGCTTCCCTAGCAAGTCGCAAACCCACGTCTAACCTACTGCCCACCGGCATCCTCTTTCAACACCCCGGCTTCCAAGTCTCTGGCCAGCATCCGACAGGCCAGGCTGGATGGTTTTAACGGTCCCTATTGGGCCTATAAAACAAAATAGGAACATTTCTGCCTCCCAGACGTTTCCCTCTCATTTATTTATGGGTGTTTCCAAATTACTTTCCTACAGACATTTTTCACATTCAGTTTTGTGTTATCTCTTACTCGGCTTTCTAAAGGCCTGGTTGCCTCCGGCCTCCCTAGCATTTCCATCTCCGTTTGGGTAACACATCAGTCCCTCCCTCTTCCACGTATTTATGGATGGTATTTAATGAGCCATGACCTAACACAAACCCATGGGGTACCCCACGCCTGCAATTTTCTCCAGCCTGTATTTAACTCGTGAACAGAAATTTTGCCTGTATGATTCTTCAACCAGTTCACATTCCAAATTGTGCTCTGTGTCCCCAAGCCAACCTGAATTCAATTCTCCTGTGAGATTTCCCAGGACACCGTAACGAATGCTTCCGTCCTCTCCAAATGTCCCATCCAGCCAGGAGTGGCCCGAAGCCGGCTGTGGCAGCTGGCACCCTGTGACGTAATCATCAGGCGCCCAGGCCGGCAGCGCCCTAGGCGACCGCCGAGTCTGCCTAGGCTCACAGGCCACCCCTACATCCAGCGCTATTCCCTTCATTCACTAACTCTGGCAAACTTTAGTGTTTATCAACTCCCAATGCAGCCTGCTGTTCATGGACCCGTGGTGCGCTAGGCACACACAGATCCTTCTCGCTCAGAAGTTTCGGTTACAAAAGCTGGTGGTTAAAGTCACCCAAACCAGCTGGTACCTACCACCATCCCCTTGGATGCTCTTGCAGGTTTTCTAGGGTTGGTCCTGCTTTGGGCTGGACTTCCTGAGGTCTCCGCCAGCCCTCGGAGTCTATGGTTCTAGTCCCTTTTTCAGCCTTGCCTTAAAAGTGGATGGAGTGATGAATGGACTTGGCTACCAGACCTAGCCAAGGTTGAGTTAATTAGCCAAGGGGGTCCAGGAAGCAGCCTCCCAATGCCCAGCCCTCTCTGTGATCCAGGAGATTCTTGGACAGAAAAAAGGTCTCACCCACCAGCAGCACCTTCCACAGCAAAAGCAGGACTTTCTTCATGGGGAAGTGGGGGGCGTGCCCGCTGCAGAACTTGGTCACCATGGTGAAGAGCAGCAGAGCAAACGGCTCTTCGCTGTGCACGGGAAAGCCTGCGAGGGAGAGGAGCAAAACCAAAACCATAAAGAGATTCTCCCCCGGCTCCCTACGCGCTCACCACTAGAGCACGGTGTATTAGCACGTAGCCCATGCCCTGTCGGGGAGTCTAACACAAGCAGCGGCCGGCAAGCCCCCCGACCGCCCACCCCCGTCTCCACGGCCGTGAGCCCAAACTTGGTTTGATCTCGGGTGGGTGCAATAAGGAGGACCCCACTGTCGGTTTGTTCCCTTTGGTTTGGTAGCTACGAGAACGGGCCCTTCGGAGGGGGACCGGCTACTCACTCAGCTCCATCCTGAAAGTCTCCCGGGAGCTCTTCCACTCGGGCGGGTCGTTTTCCGCCTCCACGCGGATGTTCTCCACCATCAGGTACATAACGCTCAGCAGCACCCTGGAGAGAAGGATATGAGGGTGGGGGGGCAACTGTTCCATTCCCAGCCCCCTCTTATTCCTCTCCCCTAGAGGTGGTCAGAGGGCTGCCTTGTCCCCCCCACCACTAAGGCAGGGCCAAGATAGGGGAGAGTTTGGGAGAAGGGGGGCTGAGGTTTTCTCGGAACAAGCCAGTGAACTTCGCTCTCCCTCTACGGCCAGGCAGCAGGAGAGCCTACGCTACAACCCCGACGTTTTCCACAAACAGCTCCCCCCGCGTCAGAGGAAGACGCTGCTGGTCTCAAAAGCTGGCTCTTCCGTCCCATTGCATTGCAATGGCTCAGAGTGCAACCGGCGGGCCCACCTCATTCGGGCAATGCCCTGGCACAATCCCCCGGGGCCAGCAAGGGGACAAAAAGGAGAACTACAATATACGGCCTTTTCTCAGCCGAGCAACTGCTCCCAGCTTGGATTATGGGTTGTATCCCCCTGTTTCTGACCCCCCCGCTCGCCTCAACTCTTTCTTCAGATACACCAGACCCGGGTAAGCTCCCTAGAGCCAAGGGCTTGCTACCGTCCTCTGGGGAATCCATCCATGCCCAAGGAGGCTGGGACAATTCGTACAGTGCGGGCGCTGAGAGCCACTGACCCAAACCGTGTCCCCTGCACTTAGGACGGAAGAATCCTAAGCACAGTTACAAGCTGGGGACCAACCACTTAAGTAGCAGTTCTGCAGAAAAGGACCTGGGGGTTACAGTGGATGAGAAGCTGGATATGAGTCAACAGTGTGCCCTTGTAACCAAGCAGGCTAATGGCATATTAGGATGCATTAAGAGGAGCATTGCCAGCAGATCCAGAGATGTCATTATTCCCCTTTATTCGGCGTTGGTGAGGCCACATCTGGAGTATTGTGTCCAGTTCTGGGCCCC